GCTTAGGCCCCGGGTATAAATATTTGACCCCGGCTAATGTAAAAAGGATATCCAATCAATCAAATACAATTTATTTTTTTCAGCTTCGTGCCAACCCTTAGGAGTAGGAGTAGTGTAGAACTCGACGAGTTCTTCAACAAGCAGGGCTGCATCGGTCCGTCCGATCTCCGGCTTATCTGTAAGTACCGTCATGGCTTATACTTCTGTTTGTACGGCTACATTGGTTAAGTTCGACCTCCACTGCGAACTCTAGTATAAGCTAGTTATCGACTCTTATCTAGTTCAAGTACGGCTGCATCGATCCGGTCGACCTTCACTGCTTGAATTAGATTAAGGTAAGTTATTGGCTCTACCTAAGTGGGTGGTGTCCTTCGGGTAGATTCATTAAGTTACCGATCTTGATGATGTTCTTATTGTTATTAGTTGACAGCAACATCAGTCTGCTCGGTCAAGATCGATTCAGATCGGCCTCATATCCTTTTTAGTCCATCGTTTGCTTTGTCACAATACGATGTTTCTTACTTTGAGCGACGGGTTATGTTTCATCGGCTGTTTTTATTTCGATCTTGATCGTGCATAGTACGTGGTTAAGGCATGTATGATCTTGAAGAGGTTTACTGGTTAGTTAAATCTGGTCTATAGTTCGCTATTATGGCTGTAACGATCCGGTCGATCCCCACTGATGGCACTGTAGATTGGAGGATGCTAGTTAGTAGATTTGTTCTTGATTAGGTATGACCTTAACTGTTTGTTATGCCTGCATCGGCTAAATAGCCGATCGCCTATGCTTTAACGCCTACGTGTTCTCATGATTCTGTTAAATGTGAATAGATCTGTGTCCTTTAAAGGTTTGATTTGTTGTCTTTATCATGGCTGCCATCGATCCGGTCGAACCCCACTGTTAGAGATAGCAGGTTAAGTCTCATGAGTTCATAGGTTTATCCACGTGAAATAGTCGATTGTTCACACGTTGTAGTCCCTTTTCATCCGAATCGGCTATTTCAGCCGATTCGCTCGAGTCTTCACACATATAGCGTGTCTTTCGGAAAGCCTGTCGATGTATAGATGGTCTTACGGATTCTAAGGTTTTAGTTTGTTATTATCATCATAGCTGCTATCGATTCGGTCGAACATCACTGTTGATTATAACAGATTAGATTCAGAGCGTTTGTAGGACCATTTGTATTAGACAGTCGATTTGTTCGCATGTTATATCCTTTCTCGTTAGATTCATCGGCTCAATGATTCACGCTTGTAATATCCACCTAGCTGACGATTTCACTTATATCTGCGGGCATTACACTTATCAACATAAAATCAATCGCGATCTATAAGCTTTACTATCCATAATAGCCGATTTCTTCGCGTGTCGGCTATTTAGTCGTTTTTCCCGTCTGGCTGCTCCCAAAGCGGCACACTTGGAACTGTCTGGGCAAAGACCGGCATGTCCCATCTTAAATTACTGATAAACTTTCTCTCATTGTCAATTGCAGGTTAAATTGACTGGCACGCTTCGGGAGGAATTCGCAGGATCAGTTAACCCTGCGTTGAAGACAAGCGGATCTCCAGGCTCATCCTAAGCAAATCCTTCCGGCTTGTTGTGTGTCGACATTTTCGTGCCGACAGTTGCTGATGGTGGTACTCTCACCTGTGACTCAGAACTTCCTCACATTGAGTGGTCACTGGTCAGTCCAGCGACATAGCTTCCAGTCCTCATTCTGAGTGATCACATTGGGTTCCTATGACATTGTCCTCGGGATGGACTGGTTAGAAGCTTTCTCTCCTATGCAGGTGAGTTGGAAGGATAAATGGATGTCAATTCCGTATGGCACTGGCAGTCTATTACTCCAGGGCAATTCTCCTCCAGACTCCGACTGTTCAGTGCTTCAACTCTTCAGCCTCAGCTTGGACGTAACCGTTGTTACCCACCCCGCTGTACTGCCTCAAGTGCAAGAGTTACTGGATGAATTCAGACCACTATTTGTAGAACCAACTACGCTGCCACCGTGCCGCCAATGTGATCATTCCATTCCATTGATCCCGGTGTCTCAACCAGTGTCTATCAGACAATACTGGTACTCTCCCAAGCTCAAGACCGAGATTGAAGCTCAAGTCTCCGAGCTCCAGCAGAACGGCATGATTCAGCCAAGCACCAACCCCTTCTCCTCACCGGTACTCCTCGTCCTTTAGAAGGATCATTCCTGGCGCATGTGTGTGGATTACTGCATGCTTAATGCCTTAACAGTCAAAAGCAAGTTTCCCATTCCAGTCATTGATGAGCTTCTGGATGAACTCTCTTCAACTAAATGGTTCTCCTGCCTAGATTTGCGTGCCGGCTTCAATCAACAGCCAGTTCGCTTGCTCGTATACGATCGTGGATTATAAGCTGGAACAATATTTTTCTCTCATACCAAACCTGCCAGCAATAAATAATCCACAATCATTTACGACGAAACGAACAGGCTGTAGATTCGCCTCGCTCCAGGGGAAGAATAAAGACGGCATTCCAGACTCATTTGGGTCACTTCGAGTACACTGTAATGTCTTTTGGGCTTACCGGTGCACCAAGGAAAATTGAATACGACCCTAAAGCCTCTTCTTCGCAAGTGTCATTGTCTTCTTCGACGACATCTTAGGCCCTGTTTAGTTTCCAAAATTTTTTTCCTCCTACAGTAAAAGAGCATGTTTGGACACATGCATGGAGTACTAAATGTAGACGAAAAAAAACTAATTGCACAGTTCTCGGCAAAATCGCGAGACGAATCTTTTAAGCCTAATTAGCCCATGAAAAGCCTTAAGTGCTACAGTAACCAACATGTGCTAATGACCGATTAATTAGTATCATTAGATTCGTCTCGCAGTTTCCTAATGGGTTCTGTAACTTGTTTTTTTATTAGTATCCAAAAACTCCTCCCGACATTCTTCCGACACATTCGATGTGATACAAAAAAATTTCAACTCCCCAACTAAACATACAGCTCAACCTTCGGGCAGCACCTTCAGCACCTCCGGCAAGTGTTTGACTTATTGGCCAAGGATCAGTGGTTAGTTAAGCTCAGTAAATGCAAGTTTGCCCAAGAATCAATAGCATATCCCGGTCATGTGATCAGTTCCCAGCGAGTCGCTACTGACCCAACTAAAATTGAGTCCATTCAGCAGTGCCGCAACCTACAGATGTCAAACAACTAAGAAGTTTCCTGGACTCGCGGGCTACTACCGCAAATTCGTCAGACACTTCGCCATCCTTGCCCGACCACTCAATGATCTATTGAAGAAGGGTATTCTCTTTGTGTGGACTGATGCTCATTCATCGCCTTTTGGCGCCCTCAAGACCGCCTTAACAACAGCTCCTGTTTTGGCACTACCGGATTTCAACAAACCCTTCCAGCTACAAACGGATGCTAGTGACTCGGGGGTTGGTGCTGTCCTCCTCCAAGATGGTCATCCTCTCGCCTTTGTGAGCAAATCCTTGGGACCCAGGACGCGTGGCCTCTCTACTTATGATAAAGAGTATCTAGCGATCCTTGTGGCCGTGGAACAGTGGCGTTCTTACCTACAACATTCCGAATTTACTATATTCACTGACCAGAGGAGCCTCACTCACATCACTGATCAACGCCTACACACTCCTTGGCAGCTCAGAATGTTCACCAAGCTGGTTGGTTTACAATATACAGTTGCCTACAAACCTGGGGCGTCGAACCAAGCTGCTGACACATTATCACGGCACCCGGCCGCGCCATCTCAGCTGCAAGCCATTTCTGCTACAACACCAGCATGGTTATCAGAGGTAGTCGCCGGTTATAACTCTGATCCAGTAGCCGTCAAGTTACTGCAGGAGCTTGCAACGAGCACCACCGCCCACCCTCCTTTTACCCTGACAAGTGGAGTGATCCGTCACATGGGACGCATATGGCTGGGCTCCAACAAAGACATGCAGCAAAATGTGATGACTGCCTTGCACTCCAGTGCGTTAGGCGGCCATTCCGGGTTTCCGGTGACCCACAGCCGCATCAAGCAATTATTTTCTTGGAAGGGCATGAAGTCTGACATCAAAACATTCGTCGCTGCTTGTGCAATATGTCATCAGGCGAAGCCTGACAGGGATCCGTACCAAAGGTTACTCACTCCTCTACCAGTACCTTTTGAGTCCTGGCAGATTATCAGTATGGACTTCATTGACGGGCTTCCCACTTCAGGTTCAGCCAATTACATTATGGTGGCAGTGGACAAGTTCAGTAAGTTTGCACACTTCCTTCCTCTACACCATCCCTATACTGCACAAAAAGTTGCTCAAGTATTCCTGGACTCACAGCCTGTTCATTTCGTCGTAAACGATCGTGGATTATTTACTGCTGGTTAGTTTGGTGTGAGAGAAAAATACTATTTCCAATTTATAATCCACGATCGTATACGAGCAAGCAAACAGGCTGTTAGTTTTTCGGCTGCATGGAATGCCAACTCATATCATTTCCGATCGCGATCCAATATTCACAAGTACATTCTGGAAGGAGCTGTTCCGCCTTGCCCAAGTGCAACTTTGCATGAGCACCGCATACCACCCTCAGTCGGATGGCCAAACTGAGCGTGTGAATCAGTGTCTCCAGACCTATTTGCGGTGCTTCATCCATTCTTGTCCGCGCCAGTGGCTGAAGTGGTTACCTCGTACAACACTTGCTCGCATTCAGCGCTGGGTCGCTCTCCATTTGAGGTATTATATGGCCATCCACCTTGGTATTTCGGTATTACTAATGAAGCTGCTTCTCCTGTGCCGGATGTCGCCACTCTACTGGCTGAGCGCGAGACCATGCTGTCCACTGTTCGTCAGCACCTCCTCCGCGCACAGCAATGTATGAAGACCCAAGCAGACAAGCACCGCTCTGAGCGCAGCTTCAAGGTTGGGGACAGCGTCTATCTCCGCTTACAGCCCTACGTGCAGTCATCGCTGGCTCCACGTTCGCACTAGAAACTTTGCTTCAAGTATTATGGACCATTCAAGATCATTGAGAAGATCGGCCACTGCACGACTCGCTCCCAGCAGCGCGACTCGCTCCCTCTGCAGCGTCTCGATCTCCTCCACCGGCCACTGCACCAGCTGCTTCCCGTCGGCGTCCAGCCACAGCGCTCTCGGGAACGTCTGGATGCCCGTCCAGTCCTTGCCGACGTCGTCGGAGCGGCTGTCCGTCTCGTCCACCCACGCCCAGCACGCGTCGCTTCTTGCGCGCGTCGAAGAACGTCTTAGCCCCGAACAGGTGGCCGTGGTCGATCCGGCGCCAGTTCCGGACGTCGTACCACCCCACCCCCACCACGTAGTAGTCCTCGTCGGCGGCCTTGCTGAGCTTGAGCACGTGCCTCACCCCGGGCCCGTTGCCGCTCTCCGACGTGTCGAGCCCCTCCATGCCGCGCTCCGCCACCGGGAACAGGTCCGGGCACTCCCAGACGGGCACGTCCGGGGACGCGTGCAGCGGCGCGGCGTTCCGCTCCCAGTGGACGAAGTCCGCGCTGCGGTACACCACGGTGGAGCCCACGCCGCCGACCTCGGTCACGACGGCGAACCGCCAGAGCCCGTCGCAGGCTGCGGGACGACAGGGTTGCAGCTGGGCTTGTGCCACTCCCGGAGGAGCGGGTCCGACGGGTTCTTCGGGAACGCCACGTTCTGCACCTGCACGTCGTTGGCGTCGCGCCCGGTGTAGAGGATGGGCGGGCGGCCGTCGGCCAGCGTGGTGGCGGAACCCGACCAGCAGCCCTCGGCGTCGAACGGCGACGTCGGGTCCCGCGCGGTGCCCAGGAAGGCCCAGTCCACGAGGTCGCCGGAGACGGAGTGGCCCCAGGAGAGCTTGACGGTGCCGAACAGTGGGCCGTGCGGGTTGTACTGGAAGAACAGGTGGTACATACCGTTGTGGTACAAAGGCCCTGCCACACAAGCACTTAGTGTTGGTGTCATTTGTATATGAAAAAAATGTTCCAAATTTTAATATTTGACCGAAGTGTTTAGAGCAAAGAATGAATTTTGTCCAAGATATCGAGCTGAGAACCGAAGAACAGGTGAAAGTATTGACAGAGATAAAGAAGAACGCATACCATTTGGATCTGTTCAGTTTTATCCACACACGTGTTCCAGCGAAATCAAGAGACCCACATGCAAACAAAAAGAGAAAAAAGAGAGAGTCAGTTTGCTTCTTTTTCCTGATTTCTATGGCTCTGACATGATCAATCACAGATTTTGATTACCATTCATCCAGTTCTTGGCAGGCTGGAAATGGTATGCAGTTCGGCCATGGCGCAGGCTCTGCTTCCCGTTCATGGTGCGAGTTGGGGAGGACGTTTAGAGGGAGAGAAGACGAACAGAAAGGCGAAGGTGAAATTCCACACCATTGCCATGCCCGGATCAGGATGTTTTTATAGCTAATAGAAAATATGGATAGCTTGGAGATTGCAGAAGACTTCAGCCGCATCAGTCCACCAAGTCTCCAAGTTTAACACTTGTTTTAGACTTGGGCACTTGACTCTCTTGGCTTAGTGCCTAAGCATGCTTAGCCAATAACAAAGTAGTGCTAAGCGGATGGGGTGCTGAGTAATTCAGGTGTTGTTTATTTGGTGGAACGCGCTTTCCTCTCCATAATACTGATGCAACGTCAGGGTCAGAAAGCGCCTCGCATTTTCGGTAGGTGGACGGCTATTTTTTTCTTTTATTTACAGAGACTATGTTGGAGATGTACACGCTCAACAGATATCATGATCATCACACCATTGCTTATGTGCAATTCTTACTAACTCGGAATAGAGACACACAAGGCGTATTTCTTTTTGTTGTGCGAAGTCTTCAAAATACAATTAGGAATTTTTGGTTAATCTTTTTTTTTTTGACATTTTGTACCGTTAAATCCGATTTTTGGAAGCTTCTAGTATATTTTTGTGATGTTGAAATATTTTATTTGGGTTTCTTGTGTCCCAACATATCTCCAGAATTATTCTTAGAATTTTTAGGTGCTTGAAGACAATTTTTGTTTTAAAAACCCTATTAGGTGTTTTTCTTGAACTAAAAATGATGAAACCACCTTAAAAACCATTTTTGACCAGGTTACGGATGTGTTTTAATTCTAAATTTGTAAAGATGTTTTGGTTTTTCTTAATACATAAGATTGGTTAACTTCTCAAAATACAAGATGGAGATGGAGATTTATTTTAGGACAGAGGGAGTATGTCTATATGCATTACACTTTCGTAGAGATGGAGTATGAGTTAAGAAAGGCAAGTTGTCTAATTTTAGAGTTTAAGGATAAAACTTTGGTCAAAATACAAGATGGAGATGGAGATTTAACATCGTATCATCTTGTCCACTCGTCCTCTCCAAAAGGCTCCCCCCCTGGAGTATGTCTATATGCATTACTCTAGTTTGGTTTTGGTTAATTGATGAAACCCTAAGTGCTTTTTATCAAGATGATTATGAGATAGGTAGCACTACTCCAAGGATGAAGCAATGACGAAGATCATGACAATGGTGATAGTTGGTGATGATCAAATGCTTGAACTTGGAAAAGAAGAAAGAAAAAACAAAAGGCTCAAGGCAAAGGTATAAAATGTAGGAGCCATTTTGTTTTTTAGTGATCAAGACACTTAGTGAGTGTGATCACATTTAGGATAGATAGCCGTACTAAAAATGCGGTTATCAAAGTGCCACTTGCTCTAACTCATTGTATATGCATTTAGGATCTAGTGGAGTGCTAACACCCTTGAAAATATTTGTGAAAATATGCTAACACATTGCACAAGATGTTTGCAGAGTTGAGATGGGTTTGGGTCCCTCTCTCCCTCCCGGCCTTATGAGAAGCCGCTTTTGGAAAAATGAAATGTCTATTTTCTATTGCGCCGGATGCAAAATTCTTGGTGGTTGGCACATTTGAGCAAGGGTGAAGAAGTTATTGAAATGAAGTTGGTCGAAATGATGTCTTTGGCGTGGTTCATCGACCGGACGCTTGAGTCACTCAAATGACCGGACGCCGAAAAAGGTCATATCGGTCACGAAAGCCGCCGACGACGTTGAGCAACATCGTCTCATCTTGTCCACTGTGGACCGACGCGTCCGGTCTGCTCGAGGAGCTTCTCGAAACGACCGGACGCTGGAGCTTCAGCGTCCGGTCGGTTTTTGCCGGAGCGTCCGGTCACCAGAGCCATTGAAATCGACGAAACAGTGTTTGAAGTCGGTGACGCGTGATGCGTCCATCGAGCACCGGACGCCGAGGGCCGCTCGTCGGCATCGCATGACCGGAGCGTCCGGTCGAGCGTGTTTTGCCCAAAGAAGGGGTACAACGGCTCTATTTGATGGGGCTCTATTTATAGCCCCATGGCCGCTCAAGGAACAACTCTTGCACATTTTTATTGACATAGCAACCTTGTGAGCTTAGCCAAAGCCCTCCCACTCATCTCCATCATTGATCCATCATCATTGTGAGATTGGGAGAGAATCCAAGTGCATTGCTTGAGTGATTGCATCTAGTGGCACTTGGTATTCGTGTTCTTGGCTTGTGGATTTCGCTTGTTTCTCTTGGTGGTTGCCACCACCTGACGGTTGGAGCAGCGGTGAAGGATCGGCACGAGTTGGTGATTGTTCGTGGCCGCCTTCGGTGATTGTGAGGGAGTTGTACCTTCCCCGGAGTGCCGAAAGGTAACTCTAGTAAATTGCTCGTGTCATTGAGTTACCTCACTTGTGGGTCGGTTCTTGCGGTGTCCTATCGTGTGGGCGAGGTTTGTGAAACACCTCTTAGCCGCCCGAACCACCAAGTGTTGAAGACACAATAACGGGACGTATTTGTTGGCAAGACGTGAACCTCGGGAGAAAATCGATTGTCTCTCTTCTTTGTCATTCTCCGGTGATTGGCTATATATTCATCTTGTGATTGGTTCATCCCTACTACACGCCGGTATAATCACTCTACTCACCTCATTTACATTCTTGCAAACTAGTTGATACAAGCTCTTTAGTGTAATTAGAATTGAGAGCTTGCTTTATTATTTACATTCATCTAGTTGAGCTCTTTAGAGTAGCAAGGTTGAGAGCTCTTAGTGAGTAATTACATAGCTAGTTTGTGTGCCTAAGTATTCATTGCAACTAGAATTGTTGGATAGGTGGCTTGCAACCCTTATAGAGCTAGAGCAAGTTTGCATTACGCTATTTGTCATACTAATTAAATTGCTCTAGTTGATTTGTAGATTTTTTTAATAGGCTATTCACCCCCCCTCTAGCCATATTAGGACCTTACAGCGCCACCGTGGCCTTCTCCGGCTCACGGTTCATCTTCTCCACCGGAGCGACCTGCCACGGCCTTCCCCACCGGACCTGTCGCAACCTTCTCCATCGGAGCAGCGAGCTTCGCACCACCGACAAGCTCTACACCGATGAACTCCACACACCGTCGAGCCTTCATTCCCAAGCAGCAAGGACACCTCCATTCCCAAGCAGCAAGGAAATGTGGCACTGAAAGCGCTTGTTGCAAACATATGTTTTAGGTGTTTCAAATGTACATCGGAAGTGTTTCGTATCGGTGTTGCAAAAGTAGATCGGGATGTTGCAAAATTAGATTGGGATGTTGCATATGTTGCAATGACCATACACGTATATTTCAAGTGTATGTTCTAAATATTTCATCTGTATTATACGTATGTTGCAAATATTTTCATCTAGATGTTGGATATACATGCATCTTGTAAGCGTATTTTTCAAGTGGGTGTTTTACACTTCAGTTGCAAGTGTTTCATCTGGATGTTGCATATATTTGCAATGGTTTTTAAGTGTTTTTCAGGTGTTTTGCAAATGTTTCAGACGCATGTTTCTTGTTTGTATGTTGCAACTGTTGTATTTGGATGTTTCAAAAGTTGATAAGGGATTGCACATGGGATGCGTGTGGAAAAGCGCTTGGCGACGCATACCCACTAGTGGGGCGCTCGCCCACAAGCCCGGCGTGCTATGGTGCTCGCTCTTGCTGAGCGGGAACCATCCGACATTAACGCCCCGAATCGGACGTCCAAACGCTAGCACGTCTATTGCGAATATGGTTAAGCTGATAGGGCTACTGGCGAGCCAGATCTGTGGAATTCATCTTTTCCTCCTCCCCAAATCAACCAATATGGATTTCTCAACGTTTCTTATTTGAAATACAGTCTTTTCTTTTTCTCTCCCAGACAATCAAATCAAACGGACCCCATATTATCAACACATTAACCTGAAGATAATTAATAGGATTGGCTTTCGTCTTTAGATTGCGACACAACCAAGCCGTCATCCCAACACATTAACCTGATAATCACGGTTGGCTTTCGTCTTTAGATTGCGACACAACCAAGCCGTCATCCCCAACAGCATTCACGGTCGCCGCGGCGAGCTCCCATGCCTCGAGCTTGGACACTTCCACCGTGCCCGTGCCATTGTTGAACACGAACAAGTGGCTGTTGCTCGTCTCCGCGTGCTCAGGGTACACTCGAGCCGTGATGCACATCCGCCCTTCAGCTCCGAAGCTTTCCACCACCGAGTGATCAATCTGTGCAGATTCCAAACAAACTGAGCAAATCGCTGAAGAACAGTGAAGCAAATGAATCGCCAAAAAAAACTCACCAGGGTTCTCAAATTGATGCTCTCGTGCTCGTCAATGTCGAAGTCCACGAATCCTCCGTACGGCGGCTTGTACACGCCGGCCCTCGTGGTCGACCTCGTCAGGTCGGTGCACATGAGAAGCCTGTACCTGCCATGGTGCCTGAACACCCGGAAGAAGACGGCGGTGTGCTCCCGCAGGTCGCCGGAGGCCATCACGACGAGCCCGAACGGCCCGACGCCGCCGGGCACCGACGCGCCCTTCTCCCCGCACAGCTTCTGCGGGTCCAGCAGCCAGTTGGGGTCCAGCGCCTCGGCCCCCGCCAGGCTCGGGACCTTGAACTCGACCTCCACGTCGGCCTGCGAGCCCGCGACGCCGACGATCTCGTTCATGCCTCCGGCGCTCAGCACCGTGCCGCGGCGCAGGCCGACAAGCTTCCTCCGCAGCGTCTCGATCTCCTCCACCGGCCACTGCCGCAGCTGCTTCCCGTCCTCGTCCAGCCACAGCTTCCTCGGGAACGTCTGCGTACGTCGCACAAGCCAGTGAGCAGTGAGTGAGTGTGTCAGAGACTGATCGGAGCAAGCAAGCGTGCCGGCGGGGTACCTGAACGCCGGACCAGCCCTTGGCGACGTCGTCGGCCTGGCTGTCAGACTCGTTGGCCCACGCCCACAGCACGCGCCGGCCGTGGCGCTCGTCGAAGAAGGTCTTGGACGCGTACACGTGGCCGTAGTCCAGCCGCCGCCAGGCGCGCACGTCGTCGCCGCGCTCGGGCTCCGCCGGCACGAACGCGTCGGCCGCGTCGTCGTACCGCCCCACCATGTAGTAGTCCTGGAGCGTGTCCATCACGCTGAGCTTCAGCACGTGCCGCACCCCGTCGCCGCTCGCCGACGCGTCAAGCCCGGCGTTATCACCGCGCTCAAGCACCGGGAACAGGTCCGGGCACTCCACCATGCCCGCGGCGCGTGAGGCGTGCAGCGGCGCGGTGGTGGCGCGCTCCCAGCGGAGGAAGTCCGCGCTCCGGTACACGAGCGTGGACGCCACGCCGCGGACCTCGGCGGACACCGCGACGCGCCACAGCCCGTCGTGGCCGAGCCACGCCGTGGAGGGGTCCCGGAACTTGTCGCCGGGGACGTCGGCGGGGAGCGGGATGACGGGGTTGCGACTGGGCTTGTCCCACTCGCGGAGGAGCGGGTCGGCCGGGTTCCTCGGGAACGCCACGTTCTGCACCTGCTCTCCATTGGCGTCGATGCCCGTGTAGAGGATGGCCGGCGTGCCGCCGGGGAGGATGGTGGCGGAGCCCGACCAGCAGCCGTTGGCGTCGAAGGGCGACGTCGGGTCCAGCGCCGTGTGGAGGGCGGCCCAGTTGACGAGGTCGCCGGAGACGGAGTGGCCCCACGAGAGGTTGCCGATGTCCCAGAGCGCGCCGTGCGGGTTGTACTGGTAGAAGAAATGGTACATGCCGTTGTAGTACATCGGCCCTGTTCGTAGTAGGAGTAACACAAGAATTAACCGTGGCTTTGTCATTTACTGTATTACCAGAAGTATACCATCGTGATCAGCAGATTCAGCAGCTAAGTGTTACGCATACTGACACTGAGAGACAGCATAGCCAGTCTGGTCCGGTGATTTTAGGCACAAATGTAGACAGCTGCAGGGTTTTGTTAGCTGAATCATATCAGTTTGCTGTTTTCATGTTTCCTTTTTGTGAAAGATTGTTGTGTTTTTTACTGAATTGGAACAAGATGATTTCTTTTCAGTCCACTCAAGTTATAGAGCGGGCAAGATTTATGCATGCGAAAAAATCTTCGGAGATGAGACGCAACCAACTCCAAAGTTCAAAGCAGGTCCACGGTGGCTAGCACACTTGGCACTCCAATCTACACTATCAACGTGGGCCACACGGGCATCTTTCCATGCTTTGTTTGTTCCTTTGTTTGTCTGCTTTCTTATCGCCTATGGAGGTATGGATAGGTTCATGCTGCTGACTACTACTAGTACTTTACTATATTCCTCCCAGGATGTCATCCAGACTAATTAATGAGTTTAATCCGTGCGATTCAATTTAATTAGATACACACGCGACATGATCAAGCGACACAATTCAGCTTCAGCGGAGCAAAGCAAATTCTACATCTGCCGGGGTATGAAAACCAAGAACAGAGCACCAAGAACATGAAGGAGTCAGCACGTACCATTCGGATCTGAGGATCGCCAGAGACGGCCAAAGAAATCCACCGGGATGAGCAGTTCGCCGCGCGATCGGACAACCACACGAATCGGTTCAGAACATCTGGTTCGGATCAAAGCACTAGCATGCACAGCGGCTAGATAGAAGAGAAGTCAGCGCGCTCACCGTTCTGCCAGTCCTTGGCGGGCTGGAAGTGGTAGGCGGTCCTGCCGGCACGGCTGCCGCCGCCGCTCTCGCTCGCGGTTGTCGCCGGCCGAAGAGCAGACGACGACGACGCGAGGAGGCACAGTTGGAAGGCGACGGCGGCCAGCGGGAGCCCCGCCATGCTCGATGCGGGACGAGAGCGAACCCTCTGGTTGCTCTGCTCCAGCTCTGCTGACGAGTCCCGGATTAACACATAGATATAGCCTCTCGAGTCTCAGAAGCTTGTTATTAACAAGTTGAAGACTTGCCACCAATCACCATGTTGTTGGTAGTATATATAATTTTGAAGTGTGAAATGCTATTAGCCATGGAGTGCTTATTCCTCGGATGCACATGGGATCGTGTTGCGTGAGCGATTCAGATTCCATTTCCATCACTTTGTTGCTGAGTTTTGAGCTCGTAAAAACTGCTGCTTGGGTTTTCTCAAGATCCGATCGGGCCAGGTCAAGGCCATTTCTTAAAGGTCGCCACCGGCCAGACGACAAATCCAGATCGTGGCTCAGCAACGGGATCTACTTCTACTCCAACGCAAGCGATCCCTTCTTCTTCAACGCAAAGTTACCTGGGTAATCAATCAGGGGACGAAGCCAGAAAAAATTTAGGAGGAGCTGAACAAAAGAATAGAGGTTTTTTTATCTTTTCTTAACCTTAACCCCTCCTACCTAATACATCACTTTGTTGCACGGGTATCCGGTCTGGATTACTGGAGGAACTAGTGGTATTGTTTGGTATTGAGTTTCTTGTCAAATGATGCATAGGTTGCTTCTGCATCTGGCCAACTAGGACTAGGATAGATGCTGAACAGAACACCTGATGGGTACCTTCAGGAGTTGTTAAACTTTGGTAGAGCCCATTTTTCTTTTGAAGCAATATGGCAAACTTTATTCATCCAGGATAGTTACACCATTTGCTAGGAAATCAAGAATGAAACTAGGAGGCTCATCACCTCAAGTACAATTTTGCTTTGATTGCATCACTCTTCTTGCTAAATTATGCGCCGCTTGATTCGCCTCTCTATTACAATGCTCGATCATTATATTGCACTCGTCATATAAGGCTGCTGCCGAATTTGCCATGAATTCTCCATTGTCCTCCATGCAATCTGATTGAATAATTAGCCGGCTGCACTAGCATCAAACCTTCCTTCAAAGCATAGGCTTCCGCCATCGGTGCATCCACTAAGTGTGGCACAAAGATGTGAGCAGCAGCTAAGACACCCTTGGTGCAATCTCTTATGATCACTCCCATACTACTGTGCCCCCCATCCTCATCAAAAGCCGCATCAACTTTCACCATCACTTTGCCTACTGGAGGCTTCATCCATCCCTGTCGTAGCTGTGAACCTTTCTTCATTGCTACTTTATAATTCTTCGTTAGCGCCGCAATAGACATGGTTGATCTCGATGGTCGCTGGAAAGTCTCTCCATGAACATATTGCTGCCACTCCCACCAAATATACCAGCCGGTAGTAAGCATCAATTCCGCTGAGCCCACTTTAATGTTCTATCACACGATCTTGGTCCTACAGTTTCAGTGTTGCTCAACTAGTTGTATGGGTTAAGTCATTGACTTAACATGGATGGTTGTTTCTTTTTGGATTTATTCTAAAATTTAATTTAATGACCCTTAGTCATTCGAAGGTGCTCGTAATGGAGTATATGTGAGCGTGTTAAGAAAGATGGGTGCACATGCATGCATGTAAGTGTCCACGCCCCGTATTGTGTTTTAGAAAAAAGATGAGTTGCTATATTTCAGATGCCCTAATTTTATGAAATTTTCAGACAACGATCTTACACAAACAACTAGTACAACTAAAATAACAACTCACAAGAGACAATTTAGCCAAATAATGACAAAAATGTATGTTGAATAACAACTTACAAGAGATAATTTAGCCAAATAATGACAAAAAATGTATGTTGGCTGAATGACGATAAAAAACCAGACACCTAAAATCCGGGGGTCATGTCATGCAAAGGGGTGAAAATAGTGTGGATATTTTCCGACCGTATTCGATACCGAATCCGTTTATAGAGGTTTAAATCTGTCCGTATCCAAGTCCGGATATTTAACATCCGATACCGTATCCATATTCAAATACTCAAATCACATATTTATGATGTCGATATCCAATTGTATCCTATCTGGCATGATTGACACTATTCATATTCGAATCCGAAACCGGATAGAAATATAAAAACAAATATAACATCCGTGAATCCGATCCGTTTCCATCAATCACAAACGAGAGGATAATTCAATGCCTATTCTTTTTGGTCCATGTCGCAGTAGTCTGAAATCGCTGAGTTGGCCCATACTGTATGAATAACCGGACTGTCCAGACGGTCCAGCTCTAGGAATGGGAAGATAAGCAGCCCATTACCAAAGCCCTGTCCATCCCATCCGGAAAGACGACGGCTGATCGAAAGCCCAAAAAAAGGGAGCGGAGAGGAGGAAGACGACGACGCGGCACCATGGCGACGGCACAGGCAGCGTCGGCGTCCCCAACCTACCACCGCGCGTCCCCGGGGACGTCGCCGCCGCAGCCGCCGTACCCCAGCGCTGCCAGGATCGCCGACTCCGCCTCGCTCAAGTGTACGCGCGCAGCTGCCCACCCGCCCTAATCCCCAATCTGGCCCTCCTCTCCTTGACCCATTCACACTCCAGCGTTCGCTAGGAAAGTGTTACTTGATACATGCCACACTTGTATGGCCGCTCGCTGATGCTGCTGTTGTTTCTTGATTAAAGGTTTGGAGGCCAACCAGGACAAGAGCAAGTGCCAGCAGCAGTTCGACGATTACAAGGAGTGCAAGAAGAAAGAGGTTTGCCCCCCCCCCCTTTTTTTTTCCATCCCGGTTCCTCTGTAATCTTGGGTGGTGATAGACGGCAGATGGTTTCAGTTGTTCCATATACGTCTCATTTCTGTTTGGTGTCCGAGATGTCTCAGTTGAGCAAGTATAGGACTTAATTTATTGGTTCAAATTCCTCTTTTAAGGACCTCAGATAAGGGTGATCTCGTGATTACTACACAGACTCAGTACTCTAACCATGTCATGTTGGCTTCCTATTTTTGTTGTGTATATGATCTCAAGTTTTCGACACAGGTCTGGGCAGTAGCTATCTGTGCTCCATTGGGTGAAACTGATTTTTCAGCATATCTTTTTCTGCTCTAAGAAGCATATTTTCGATGTCAGATATACAAGGGGGGAAAAATGCATCAGCAGTAAGCTAGTAACTTTGTCATCTACCTACAGAACTGGGTACTGTGATGTAGCATTCCAGCTGTGCTTCGTTGAGTTCAAAACTCTGTAGAGTGCATTTGATTGGTGAGCTTATGAGCAAATAAAAAGTGATTTTTTTCATATTGCTAGCATCTATATACTTGTAGGGTCATCCACTTAGGTGATTTTAGCCCTTTGGTTTTTAGGTTTTTTCTTCATCTACATATAGCTTGACCCACTACCCATCAAGTATCCTGTATCCTGACTGCAGAAGTCGTTCTAATGATACGAGTGATGCTCATTTCTCCTTAGACACTAGCAGGCATGCACATGAGCAAAGGACTAGATTTTTCGAACTTTTAGTAATAAAATCTATAACCAAGATGTGCTCTGCTCCAATGTTTGCATTCTCTGTAAGACATAATCTGCTGCTCCCCATTTGAACTGGTCGGCTAAGCTGTCCACTCCCTGATTAGGAGTTGAAACTGGTCGGCTCAGCTGTCCAGTCCCTGCTGCTGTTGCAGTAAGGGAGTAGGAATGGCTTACTTCAGCCATGTAGTGTAGAGATGGCTGAGCTAAGCCTTGAGTAGGTAGTTGGTGTACTCACCAACAACTATGTACCTGGTAGAGGTACCAAGCACCTGTATATATGCTATGCCAAGGCAATGCAACAAATCAGTTCAGTTGCCACAAACCAAAGGGCAGAGCTTCGGCAAACGCTGGTGCTTGTGCTGAGTGTGTGTGTGTGCTGAGCTCAATCTCTTCTTCTACCTCTAGCCATAATGAGTGAGTGTGCTGGTAAACTTACTGCTTACTTGTGCAGGGCAGCCAGGGACTAACATTCTTGACTATTATGGCATGAGTACCAATGTTTTCAAGTCGTCTAGTCGAACCTAGTCGCCATGGGACCGACCATGCGACTAATCGCGATTACTCGTCAACCAGGCCGATTAGTCTAGCAGAGTGGATTGCTTCTCTTTCCTTTGGAACCAGAGAATAGCAGAGGGACAACAGTACAGCACAACAAGCAACCTAGCAGTCTAGCAGAGAGCCAGAAAGGCTACAGAGTGAGGGATGGGGGAGGAGGGAAGAAGATGGAGAGGAGAAAGGCACATACCGTCGTCTGAGCAGCTCATCACGAAGACCGCGGCCACTTGACCTGGCAGAGGGCGCTGCCGGCTTCACAGCTCACCAGAGAGGAGAATAGCGTGCGAGGGAGGAGAATAGCACACGGGGGAGGGGAATAGTTCACGAGAGAGAGGGAATAGCGCGCAGGAAGGGGAGGAATCGCGCGTGGGGAAAAATTGTGGCCGCCCTGCATTTGTCACCGTGCCTGCGTGCCTCATGTGTTTTGGGGTGCCTATTCTAACCCTAACATACCAAATTTGGAAGCCCAATAGGCCACATATAGGCCCGATTGAACGAGCCCAAAAAAAAAGAGCAACCACACTGGTCGTCCATGGCCTAGTCGGACGACTAATCGGACGACCAACTTTCTGGTCGAGCTAATCGGGTCGGTACCCCTAATCAGTCACTAGGACCTATTAGGACGATTAATCGGACGACTTGAAAACATTGACGAGTACTAAATAATCATGTGGCCATTTACTTACCATTTTACAAGGTCAAATAATGACATCCTCTTGCTACCATTTTTTTTTGTTGCGCTATCTTCTGGTTTCTGAACCTCCCATAGTGCTTACCGACCTTCCCAAAATACAAAGCTACCCCTCGCCGCCCCACAAAAAATGGATGCATTCTCCTATTCTGATATTAAAAGTAGTAAATGATGTGTCTTGAAACCTAAACAGGGTTGTAGACTACTACAATCATTATATAAATTTGGATAAGGTCACTAGTCACAGATGAACTCAATTTATGTCCCACTCATGCACTTTAC